AAAAAACTAAATACATTTCTTGTAAGATGCCAAACTGTGCTTTTTTGCTTACATATAAAACAGGAATATAAAAAGGATTTTAAAACAGTACAGATAAAAGGTCATTTGCTTTAGTAAATGTCAATTTAAACTTCAAATTGATTGCTTTGGCTCCATTGAAACAAACTATGAGGGCTTTTAATTTAAAAGGCTGTATTAGATTTGATGAAACTTGAATGGTTCCAATTGGGAGCTCAATATCTCATAAATGTACTCAGACCCCATTAATCTAGATTTGATTTAGTGGCAGTAGGTATTTAGTGTTTGATGATTTCATGGTTTTGTGTTGATAGATATTACTTTTAAGTTAACAATTTATGAGAGTATTCATTTTATCATCATATCCTTACAATTCAAAAAGAACACCAAGTGGTTATGAAACACAGTCATACATTTATTGTGCAGTACTGCTCACACACATGGCCTTCCAGCTGCCTTCATTTGATTATATTGAAAAACGGCGGGAGCTCGCTCAATTCAAAGCGCAGAATAATGTGGTAGTATTATGACTAGGTAACGTCTGTGTCAAGATGACTTCAACTAAGTGGTACCAAAAGGTTATGCAAAATGTCAACTATTGTGATTTTTAAAGAATCTTCTGTTGTTCATGAATGTACTCTTACAGTGATCATATTCATATATCTATTTACTGTGTCTCCATGCTTTAATGTTCAAAAAGCTCTTTATTTGTCTCATACTGCCTGTGCTGCAGCACCTCTTTTCACCCTCTGTCTGAAACCAGAGCCCAGTCTGCTCTGATTGGTTAGCTGACCAGCTATGTTGTGATTGGTCGACCGCTTAGAGATGAGTCCCTTTGTAAAACAAAGGGAAATATGTGTTTGTTTCACTGAATTTTACTTTAAGAACTAATTTATGCACCCTCTATTCAAAAAATAATTTGCTAAATTGATTCCCAATTCACAAATTTTAGAAAAATTATAATCATTTTATTGTGACATGTCTCCTTGTAACCCAACCCAGATGTGGCTAATGTAGAAAAGCTACTTATGGTATTAATTTCTGCGAAGAGGCCCTGCAAGACACTGAGGGCCAGGTCTGGGCTGGCCTCTGCAGGGCTAAGCCGGGGTCTGGCTGGCTGTCTACAGCTGTTCCCCTCCTCGGTTTGGTGAGGGGCTTTACCCCATGCATGGGGAGCGTCTGGAGCTCTGGTGCAGCTGTGCCTCCAACTGTGCACACCTGCACTCGCCCCACCACCCACCACGACGCCCGGAAAACCGGGGATTCCAGAGAATGGAGCCTGGGAGTTGGAGGAGGGCGTGAACTGACGGAAAGGCCAAGAGAGGGAGTTGGAAGGGCAGGGAGAGCAGTGCCCCGGGCGCCGCCATGTTAACTGCTGCATGACCGCTCCACTAGCCTATTTCTCATTCAAACAGTGCTGCTCATTAGCCTGGCGGATGCCTCTCCTCACGTCAAGCTGCTCTTCCTCGTGCACCATAGCAATTAAGCAAAATGCATTATTCATGGTGCCTTTCTCCCAAATACACATTGCAACTATATCTGTTTGCTGTGCTTGCATAAACTTTAATTGGCAGGATTCCTCCAGAGTATGTGAGGTTAAGTTAAGTGGAATAATTGAACTGTGTGAATTTCTATTAAATTAATGTTTTGTATCAAACATAGGCGTTTGTTCTTTTATAGCTTATAGTCGGTTCCAGGCACCGGTCCATCCCTGATTGATCTATTATCTTTGTCTCTCTACCCTGCAGGTGTTTTTCTGCAGGAGGTGACAATCCTTCAGCAGGCAGCTCAGCACAGACTTCAGTGACCATTTTACACCAGTCACCTCAAAGGAGACAAGAAACCGTGTTCAGAGGCTTTGACACTGTCAGCAATTGTTGTCATGAACTGTCACTGTCAGGAGACACAGAAGTTCCCTGTTGTTTTCAATCCAATGCGCTGTCAAATATGTTTAGCAAACATCTACATGTACACAAACACCCTTCACCGCGAGATCAAATTCCAAAAAGAGCTGATGCTTTGTGCCTCCGAGGTCGGGAGGCAGAATGCAAATAAAGCCTCACTCTCACCAGCGTGCTGACAGGAGCTCGCAGTCTTCTTCTTGAGGAAGTGTTTGATGTTGGCTTGCAACAGAGAGCTTAAACTCACTACTATTAAACAGTACAAAACTCCCCAACAAGATATTTCAGGCAATTTCAGGCAATTTCATAATGCTGTTTAGTTCTTTAATTTACATGAAATAAATGGTTCTTAATAATTGCCTGCCTATTTCACAATATACTACACATATGTAGAACAACTATTGATGGCATATTGCTTTTGTACTGCAGTTAAAGGGACCCTATTATGCTTTTATGGGGTTTTCCCTTTCCTGTAGTGTGTTATAAAGGTCTGCATGTAAATGGTGTGCAAAGGCTAACATTATTATTATTACATTATTACATTTCATTTAGCTGACACTTTTATCCAAAGCGACTTACAATTACCGATTACAGGGCATTCTCCCTGGAGTAACTAAGGGCTAAGTGCCTTACTGAAGGGAACACTAGTGGTGGTGTTCCTGGCGGGATTTGAACTCACAACCTTCCGATCTTCAGCCCACCTCACTATCCATGATTAGACCACTACTATCCCATAACATCCCAAATGTTCTCTCCCACACACACCCCCCCCCCACATATATCACTACGTAATACTCAAACTTCTATTGACTAGCGCTTCAATACATTTTACATGTCTAAGTGGTTGTCCAATCACAACAGAGCCAGCCAGCTAACCAATCAGAGTAGACTGGGCTCTGGTTTCAGACATAGGGTGAAAAGACGTGCTGCAGCACAGGCAGTAAGAGAGACATAAAGAGCTTTTTGAACATTAAAGAATGGAGACACACAATAGAAATATGAACATGAACATCTGCATAATAGGGCTCCCTAAAGAATATGGTGTACCACACGTTTTACTTCAGGAAAGGCAATGGCTCGTATTAATTATAATCTGGCATTGTGGCAAAACGCTGGCATACTCTCAGTGTTACATTAAATTGACAGTTCCCATTAAACCATTCAAAGTATAAAACTAAATTCTATAAATCTGAGGGAGGTCCTATTCTGCTTTTGTCAAAATTGAGAAGGGAGCTTTTTGAAAGCTTACGTTTTTTATTTCACTGAGTTCCAAAGACAGACGGTGAAAGTCTGTGTGGCATCTCATCTCATCTCATAGCTATCTTCATTTTTTTTTAAAAATCTGACATCTCATTTTAACTCTTGCAAAGTATTTAAATTATTGATGCAGGTAGTAAATGAGGGAGCATTGCCGGTTCTGTGCAGTATCTTTCTCTGGTTAGACTATGAACATTAAAAATCCCTTGAGCCTGTGAGCTCTGCATAATTCTTGTCAGGAAGTCAAGGAAACACAAGTGTGCAGTATTTTTTACGCATCCAGATACAGTGTTGAATAGTAAGTAGAGGACTAAGAGTGCAATGAATTCCATACAAAACTAGGTAAACATCAGACAGAATCAAAAGCCATGCAATCCCAAGACCCTGTTATTATGTGGATAATGGTATTGATTATTGGAACCGACATAACCTCTGAGGAACATATGATTGACCGTATTTTGTGAATGCCAGCAGGTATTTGAAGTGGTATTACTGAGCATGATTGTATAAACCGTGTCAAATTCTAAACAAATATGTGTGTAAATACAAGAGTTTGTGTGTGTCAGTGTTTGAATCATGAAGGTGAATCCTTGTTTATCAGATATCTGTCAAACGAAAGCACTACTCTCTTTTTTTATATAAAAATCACAATTGAAAGAGTACATTTCATTCAAGTATAACATTATAAACAATGTCTTTGCAAATATGTAACTTGAATTGAAAATTATTCATTTTACTGACTATAATGGCAATTAAATGTGAGCAGTTTGTTGATTAATGTCAATGCTGTGAGGAACAACAAAACATCACAACACGCACTTTGCATGCTGTCTTGTACATTTCTGACAGGAAGCTTGGCAGTTGTCAAAGTTAACAGACACTGACAAGCAGGGTTTTAAAACAACTCAAGCACTTCAATTGTAGAAGCATGTCAAAATAAAAGCTCTGAATCGAGTCCTCTCGGATTCAAAGCAGCGAAGCAGCTCATCTTGTCAGTCAGTGATGCTAATGCTCATGTTAGCTTATGTAGCTACAGTGCCGAGCTGTCAATAGTAGCAGCATTAGGAACAGTTTAATATAAAAACATTTTCAGCTTTATACATTATTACCAAATATGCAAATGTTATCTAAAATGTCACTTGTAAATTAAATCAGTATAGATCCAATATTGTTGATGTCAAATATACACATAATAAATACAAGTGTGATATTTTAATAAATGTGACTGGAATTTCTCTGTTTCCTGTCTGACCTGGCAGAAAAAAGCCACTTCACTAACTTATATTATCAGACATTTTCTATAAGACTAATCAATTTAAGTTTATTCCTGGCATAATCACACTTTGATTTATATTGTATAGACCACATGCCTGTAATTACTAACGTTTTTTAAAATATAAATTGTATATCTTACGTAAGACAGACCCTATAAAAACATGAATGTAGTTCGCTGACATCACCCATTGATTTCTGAAGAACCGTTGTAAAGCTGAATGTGGGTTGCTCCACCCATCACAATCTTAGCAATGCAAACTTCTCCCAACTCTTGGCTAATTCAAAACTGGTGAGATGGCAGCCTTGCCTTAAATCATTTCAATGGTTGAGGGTTGTCATAAAGGGAAAATTAGCCATAACTCCCATGCTGTAAACCGTTGATGTCTGCTGTGAAGTTGGCCAATTTAACATGGGCTTTTGGAAACATCCTTAAGAGGCCATTTAAGAATTAGCAATTGTACGTGTTAGCTTCATACTTCAGCACCAGATGCTGTTGCTTGGTGACACACATGAAGACAACACAAACAATCAAAAATAGTAGTTGCTTACTCTGAGGAAGGAGTCCAGAGAGCCGTTCTCCATGAACTCAGTGATGATCATGACAGGACTGCTCTTGGTGACCACGCCCTCCAGGTGGATGATGTTTGGATGGTCGAACTGGCCCATGATGCTGGCCTCGCTCAGGAAGTCTCGCCTCTGCTTTTCAGTGTAGCCAGTCTTCAGAGTTTTTATGGCCACAAACATCTCTCTTTTAGTCGGGAGCTTCAAGTTACCGCTGCAAACCTCTCCAAACTCTCCTGTGAAGAAATAGCATGAGAAAAAAAGCAATGGTTCTATTAAACTCAGGGCGATCTTATTTAGAAATCAAGTTATTTTATCCCTTAAATGGTTTCTGTTTCCTATGGGATATATGTATTTGATAGGTGTTGCTCATGTGTAAAATGTATGTAATAACTGTATGTGTATTGTACGGTGTACTATGGCTATTAATGGTGTTACATGGGTGTAATATGGGTCTAATAACAGTGTTATATAGGTGTAATAATAGTGTAACATGGATTCAACATGGGTGTATAAATGTGTAATATGGGTGTGTTGACAGTGTAGTAGGGGTGTAATATGGTGCTGCTACATGAGTTTGATTTTGGTCTAATAACAGTGTAACATAGGCATATAAGGGTGTAATAATGGTTTATCATGGGTGTAATAACTAATACATTTTCCAACATATTGAATATTGAAAGTGTGATATTCCATTCACGTTTCAGTCAGATCTTTCCATTACCTGCTCCGATGACCTGTTCAATCTTCACACAGGATATATCAATCTCCTTGGCAAACTCCCTCACAGCCTCGTTGGGGTCCTCATATGTAAACGGATCAATATATATCTTCATTCCTGGAGTCACTTGGAAAAAGAAAGAGCCTCTATAATATTTGGTTTCTGGTCATCCTTAGACTACTTTTACAGTCACATGTATCCAGGCACATTAACAGTTCCTCTTGCATTCACTCATTACATTTCCTGGAAGACATTAGGGTGATGAAGGTTAAGAGATGGAGGAGGTGGTGTAGTTACAAATGGTGGTTAAGACTAGTGTCTCGTGGCTACTTTGTATAGCGATTCAGTCAGCAAGGACAAGTTACTGCCCGTCTTCTTTGCTGTGATAAGGCATCCTCATCTCCTGTGAGTCATAGTGCCATTAACACTCAGGCGAGAAACCGGGGCCCTATATCAGCACCTCTCAGCTCCACTCCAAGAAATAAATTGGCCCTCTTAAGACCTGATGCCAGGTAAATTGGCTTAAGGTGGCCTTTAAGTGTGCAGGGACTTAAGTGGCCTGAGTTTTAAATCCGATTATTCGGCTCTCACCTCCACATCAGGCCTGAGGCTATTTGAATGGATGCTGAATTCATGCATTGGCTGGTGGAGAGCTAGAAGAACATGCACACCGCCTAACACCCTGGCACACTAAGCTGAAAAAAAAGTGCTGCAGAGATGAACAGATGGTGAGGATATGACCAGGAAAAAAACCCCATCACTAAAACCTCACAATCTCTTCCCAAGCTGAAGCAGTGTTCAACAGACCACCCTCCTTTAATGGCAAAGAGCACAAAAAACAGGGGCATGAACTGTTGACTGGTGAGAGGACAGGAGGCTCGCATTGGCTTCTGTTAATAGCTGTGAAATACCATGTCATACTGGCCCACATTTCTCTGAAGCACAGACTGGACTTCTTGGCACAGAGTGATCGGATTATATTGTGTTACCTTTAGAGTGGAATTAGCATAAACAGGAAGAAGCAGGGAGATGATTACACAATCAAATAAACAAATTAAAATGGGGTCATAAACTAGAGGAATTAAAGAGATCTGCGTTTTTCCATCCATGCAGAAGAACGATGGATTAGCTTTAATATCTTAGAAAAGGTCAAGAGGAAATTACTTCTCTTCCAGATTTATTTCTGTAATACTGTCATTTAAGCTCTCTGCTACTGTACCATATGAACCCAGGAAATCATTGAGATATCCCATTCATTCACACAGTCTTTAGAATTTTCCCAACAATGGAAAATGACGCATGTGGCATTAGCATGCTAATGGCGTTAACATGAGTGAAGACTGACCTATTTCCACCACAATGGATTTGGTTAACTATGAAACGTGATGAGCCACAGAACACACACTTGAAACTTGTTTTTTGATGTGGTTAAATCCGGGCTCCGAGCGAGCGGAGTCAAACAACAGACAGGATTACTCGCAAGGAGGGGGGGCAAATGAAGCTGTGCCGTGGTTGGGCCGTAGCCAAGGACACCAGCATGCAAGGTGGTAGCCATGGAGACAGGTGTGTGAGGCAGCGGAGGGGCTGAATGACAGCCATGGTGATGACTGTGTGAGTTGGTAGTCATGGAGACAGGTGTGTGCGGTGCTGATGGGGGTTTACTCACTGTGGCCGCTGGTGTAGTGCTGCAGTTTGTCCGTGTATTCTGAATCACCTCGTTCAAAGCCACGCCTCCTGGGGGAAAGACAAAGAACTCTAGCTCCGGTTCAAAAAGAGAGAGCAGGGAGGGGCAGGAACACAGATCAAACACCCCCAGGTGTACCTGCACTAAAGATACACTGACAGAGATCACAGGCAGAACCAGGGAGGCATTTGTTTGTTTGCTACAGTGGAAACAGCTGCCAGCTACACTACACAAATATTTATTCGATTTCCTCCACCTCTTCTGGGCAGATTTGTTCCAATTATTGGTCCATATCATAGATTCATACAAAATATCAGCAGTGGTTTTTTATACAGCCTTCAAAAGGTGACCGAAATGTTAGAAAAACCACATAAACATGCATTAATGCTCATCAATATCTAGTTATTTATAATACTGTGAACCCTGCACATCCCTCTGTATACTTTCCTCTTCAAGGTTACCTTTTTTTTTATCATCTGCACAGCTCTCCACTTCACATACACTCCATTACTGCATTCTTTTATTCAATTCTGAGTAATTTGTGTCTATGTATGCGCCATGCTGTACACACACGCAAATTCCTTATATGTGTACAACTACTTGGCAATAAACCTGATTCTGATTATCGTTGGAAGAAGAAAACACTGAAAGCTCCATTGACCAACAACACAGTGTTAGCAAGCCATCAATCACAAGGTAGGCTCCACAATAAAATGTTTACATCATTTTGTCAACACACTTTTCAAATTGAATGTTTTTCCAATACATTCAGCTTTTAGTGCCACATCAGTCGCTAGCCTTGTTCACCCCATTATAAGGGGAACTATTATTCAACACTAGCTTCAACACATTGGGGTATGTTCTTTAACTTCATTACCAATTTGTCAGCTAAGTTTTAACTGGCGAGAAGTTTGACAAGGACATATTCAAATATCTCTGTTAAGTCCCGTGATGGGCCATCACAGTGCATTAGAACTGTCCAACAGTTTGCAAAACTCTCAATCGCACACTCTTCCATTTTGTCCAGGCGATGTTCCCACAATAACCAAAAATGCAATGCGCAATGTGAAAAACTGAATTTCCGCTAGGGGATTAATAAAGAATGTCATATATGTTATCCTTTGCCATTAGTCTGTCATTATCCAAGAAAGAAGTATACTGCGGTATATCTACTAGCAAGATATAGTCAGAAATTCATCTTGTTCAATTTTGTCTGTGAATCAAAACAGTGAGCAGGAGCTAAGCTGCAGTTTTAATATGAGTGGCCCCAGCGGGAACTGAAACCCTAACCTTGGCAGAGTAACAACCATTTGATTCCTGCTGAGCTGGATCACCTACAGAAATATAATGTCAGCGATGTTGACCTATATGTGTTATTTCTGCTGCTGAAAGACTGGAATCTATTAAGAATTAATATCTTGGAAACCAGATGGTTTTATCTGAACAACTCACATTGAGAGTGAGTACATACAAGGAATTTGACTCGTTCTTTCTTTGCTCTGAATGAACTTACACACACTTCTTAGAGCAATTTCCAGAAGACATATATAAATAGACCTACAGACCTTATTCCATAGAAGCAGGTTAATACTGTCTGCTAACAAGCTAACAGACTTCATGCAACCTTGAATAGAAGCTAAACCACAAAAAAGGAACAAATATTCCACTCCACCAGCCTGTGTAACTATTTTGTTGGTTCACAGCATGCTTGTTTAAAGAGACTGAGACTCGACTGACTCACCGGTTGCAGACGATGATGATGACGACCACAGCGATGAGGAAGACCAAGCCCGCAGCTGCCGAGCCGATGATGAGAGGTAGCTTCTCCTGAATACTGGTGTTGTATTCCTCTGTAAAAAAGAAGAAACCCATACATAAACAGAGTGCCAAGCACACACACACAGTCAGAAGCTGTAACATATGGGTGAGCATCTGAGCCGTTGCATATGGAGCGGGCGATGGGTGACAGACGGACATATGGCCGGGTGAACCAGCGATTATCTTGGCATCTTGACTGACTGCATGGAAGATTTTTTCCAAAAGCTGAATGTGGTCAGATGCCGCAGATATGGACAAATCATCTGGCAGAAAGCGTGTGAAGTAAGGAGAGAGAGCATGTTTGGGTGCGACCCAGACGGATCAGGGAGCCAAGAGCAGGATCCAGACACTGAACGAGCCCACAGAGCAGAGCCAGGCCCTTCTCTGGAGCACTGGAAATGACACAACTTCCCAGTTTTTAGCCAGATACAATTATTAGTAAGATCCTCACATTTTTCTTTCTGCTTCTGGATAGCATGAATATTGTCTATTAGAAACCAAAAGGTATTATCGTCTACTACATCAATACTGTCTGAACATTAAATACATGGAGAAATAAAGCTCTATTATGTGTCAACAGTGTTACTTCATCTTCAGTATTTGTCAACATTCTCCTATAAAAACACATTTTCTATGACAAAAACGATGTTTTATATTTGTTACCACAGCAGCCTCTCTAGTAATGTGCCAAGAGGAAGATGTTTGGTATTTGACAAAACATTACTGCATTTTAATGTGTACCTATTTATGAAAAGCGTATATATACACCTATAAATGCTTAATATTAGGAATTAAGAGTAAAGTGTTACCCATAACTTTAACCAGAGAGGGAGAACTCTGCAAACCATTGCAGTTTCATCAAAGGCCTTTCACATTTGAATTGTTTAAAACTCTGAAATACAGCATTCATTCATTTGAGGTACCACTGGTAAAGTATTACAAAATAAATAACGGAACAGATAAGTGTTCACTTGGAATATCTGTAACATAAAAATCCAATTGATACAGAAAATAGGGTTTGAAAATAATGTTTATAGTGCAAACATTAAATGTTTATTATTTTTCCCTCCTGTTAAATGTTTTCAGAGCTGTATTAAAACAAAAGGATATTGTGACCTTAAACAAGAGTTATAAGTGTCTACTTGGAGCAGGAAACAACTTTTGGATGGGACACAGAATCCATTTAAAGAATAACTTTAAACTAATATACTTCCCTTTAAAAAAAGGTAAAAGCTAAATTCATTTAATCTTCAGTTTACTCAGTTTAGATATATCTGTAGCGCTGGGATCTGTGTGTGGCAGCATCAGATGTTGGTATGAAGGCTCAGGGTAATGATGGCCCTGGGCGCTGCAGGCTGAAGGAAATGAGATGTTCAGAGGGAAAAACCCAGGCCTGACTCCAACATTAGCCTGCACGATGATGTTTACTCAATATTCTCCCAGTCGTTTCTCTTCAGAGATAAGACAACTCCGACCTCATCCTTGACTCAAAGGCTTAGGATGAAAAATGGCAAAAGCTATCTTTGGCATAAAAATATGGCTTTCGTGTACCACATCGAGGAAAGAAATCATGAATGCTGGAATATGAATAACAAAATAATGACAGTATAACATGTGGGATGTTTTCTATTGCTGAGAAGGACATAATACATTCCATGCCATACTGATCTGGTTTTGGGATATTTGAACTGTTTACTCCACAACATGACTCCCTTCGTCCCCGCAGCTGTCTGCATCCATATCATGGTGGCTCGATGGGCAGCGCATGAGAGGCGACGACAGCTCTGCGTGCTTTTAGGAGCATTAGCTGAATTCTCACCCTCAGTCATGGTCTGGAAGTACAGTTTGCCACTGTAGCGTCCAAAGCCGGCCACGGTGCGCGCCCGGACCTGGAACACGTAGATGCTTCCTGGCTTCAGGCCGCGGATCACCACTGTGTTGGTCTGGCTCCTGATGGCGGTAGCATTAACCTCTGATTGGTCCTAGGAGAAGAAAAAGCAACATGGTAAATATTTAGAGTTGGTTATTGTGAAAGGTCACAAGAATAAAGGATTTGATAGGGTATGATGTTTATATAAAGTCTATGGGTTGGATCTGGGATACATGATACAACAGTATCACTAAGCTCAGCACTTTTTTTGGGGACAATTCTTTTGAAAGAAATAGCGCCATTAAACCATTACAAGGTGACACAAAACACAATTGGAATTGAATTATATGGAATAATTAAAATGTTTTGCATGTCATGTGTGTTCTTGGTTCTTGGAAGTATTGAACTGTCAAATTCTTTATTTGAAATGTTGAAGGGATCTTATCACCTCTGTTTTGACTTTTATTTGTAATATATTTATTTGTATATATTGTTGGTATACAAGCTAGTATTGTCGTATCAACATACTGTCCTGAGATGTGTATATCTTGCCTGGACTAAATAAAATTTAAATAAATAAAAAATACATAAATAAGCCATGTATAGGCAAATACAATTGTAAATGGTTTATTACTAAGCAAAAAAAAAATCCTACACTGAGACTGTAACTAAAATACTGAGAGCAGGGATGGTAGAGAAAAATCAGGGCTACTCCCATGAATTACCACATTGACCACAAGAGAGCAAATCACATGATTTGATATCAGAAAAAGAATGTTAGATAAAGCAGCAGGACTGAAAGAGGAGCACATCCAGCAGTTGCAGATAAGAAGGTAAATATGGTGGCAGTTTCAGGTCAGACGGGCCTTTCTGAGTCATGCCTTCTGATGATCAGAGCTGAATCTCACTGCGGTCCCCCTCTCCTCGATGCTGACAGGTCTGAGAGCGGAGAGTGAGACTCCTTTAGCTGCTGCCTTCAACCCGCTGCTCTCTGCACACTTCTGAGCCACAGCAGGGGCCGGGACAATTGTTTTGACAGCTCTCTCCAGCAGTGTCAGAAAAGGGGAATTATATTCAAATGTGGAACGGCTCAGCGTGTGGAAGAAAGCTAGACAAACGCTGCGTATACATGCGTGATTGTCTATGTCTGTGAAAGGGCTGCATGTATTTAAGTGATCATTTTGCATTGAATCAAAACAGCACATTTGTGACTGTTCTTGTGAGAAAGTATGGAGCTTGCCCCTCGAATACTATTTTTACAGCAGTCAGCGCATCATTGTTTCAACCGCAAGTCTCTGCACATCAATCCCCAGCGGCCCTACTGCGGGGCTGAGAGCCGTTTCCTTTTCCAGTGACTGACCGTGATTATAATTGGAAGAGAATGAGCAGAAGTTCTAAGCAACGTTCAGAAGCTCTGACTGTACGCCTCGTAGGACGTGCTGAAGATCCTGAGGGGGTATTCTGAATTTAAATAAATAACAGTTGTGGAAAAAGTACAGTATATGTGAGTTTACCAAAACATTATCGTCAAAATACTTAATTGCAAATAAAAGTCCTGAATTCAAAATCTTTCTTTAGTAAAAGTACAATATTATTATCAGAAAAATGTACTTAAAGTTAAAAAAGTTTAAATGTCCTTTATTTGCGTGTATAATTATTTTCATATATGTGACAATTTTAAATAATATTGTTGCATCAAGTAGCCTTTTACCATTTGATTTTTTCGTAAAATATTTGAATAATTTGAATCTTTTGTGAATTATAGAGTAAGTCAACTAGTTTATTTTTTAGAAATGCATTTGGTTAAAAGGAGCTAGTGTAAGGATGTTAAATAAATGTAGAAGAGTTAAATAACATTAATTTACTTTTAAATGTAGTGCAGTAAAAGTATGAAGTAGCATAAAAGTCCAATACCTCAAAAGTACTTGAGTAAATGTACTTAGTTATTTCCCACCTCTGTAAATAAAATATTAATTTTTACCATTAGGGTGGAATTGATTTAGTTGGATAGGGACAAAAGGATCAGTGAAGGCTTGGAGGAAGGATGCGATACCTTTTCATAACACAGGAGCTCGTAGTCCAGGATGACTCCATTGGGCTGGTCAGGCTGGGACCAGGAGAGGGTGATGCTGTCCACAGTGCGGCTGACCTGGTGCATGATGGATACTGTGGATGGAGCTGCGAGGAGACAAAGACAGTGTGTTAAGGATGAGTCAAATAAGTAAGTACATGCTTGACAGTCACGCATACTGAGTTTTACAGCATCTTTAATCTCGCAGCCAAACACCGGGTACTGCAAAGGTGTAATACGTAATGCCATAAAACCCATGTAATGTACTGCAGCCCGCCTTTTAGAGAGTCTCACGACGAGACATGCACTGCATGTTGGCAAGTTACAACACCGGCTAAACCACATAAGCAGCCTCCCGGGACTTCCCAGTGTCAACGGTGATTTTCATGTGATTCATTTACGCTTGTCAAACGGCTGATAACAGGCTATGTTCTTCAAGTAAATCATTTTAAAATCATTGGACCACCGTGCATTACATGCAGGAAACCCATTTGTATGGCACATAAATGAATACAAACAAATAGCGTGAGTCACAGGTGATACAACTGCTAGAGAACAGCTTAAATAGGTTTTCCAAGGCCTACAGCAGTGATCCACCCATGTAGTCCACGTGTACCTTCAGTCGTTATTCCCAATTGAATCTGTGATTTACAGAGTTCATTAACGTAGCAGAGGTTTTTCATACTATAAATCAAATGTGTTTTTAATAATTGCCAAAACTTTGCTAATCAATAAATCAGCATTTAGAAACCTAGAAACTTGCCTTATTTGGGTTGGTCTTTGCGAGAACTACTTCATCATCACCTTACATTTATTTCTGCGTATGAATTCGGGACACGTTGAAAGATTGAGATAGATGACTTTACAAATCTAGCTTTAGTTCGCTGCAGGTTGATTTTTAAAGAATACTGAGATAACAAAGAACAAATAGGCTATTTCAAAAAAAGATAAAACCACATATAAATGGAAAACAGTTGGCTATAATGTGAAGTTTACATTATTGCTTATTAAATTATCTAAAAACATTGGTTTTACCAATGGTTAAGTTTTACCAATGGTTTTAAATATGGTTATACCTATGGTTTAGATACCAAGATACGAAGCCAATGCATTACCTCAGAGTGTACTGAGCAGTGGTCACGGTGGACAGTTGAACTATGGTGTGTGGTACGTTTATTGTAAATACTATTTCAATCTTAAAGAAAAAAATATTCACAAAAAACAACCCAAAACATACATTATTTTTATATATATTCAACACTTTCATTACTTTTTTTGCATTGAAACCATTACAAATTGACCTGTTGCTAATTGTAATCATATACTTTCTTTCAGTAAACACACGACTCAATGACGTGTTACATCATGGGTGGCCCAGTCTTGAATAACCCAGTGACTTAAAGCGTTATACATTCTTTCAAGTACAACCATAAGGTCAAGGGAGCGTGATCACCTCACATCCTCCAACAACCATTAAGATTAGTTCAGGGTGCCGTGGGTCAGTGTAAAGCTAAGAGAGGCTGAAGATAAAAAGCTTTGTCTGGGGGAGCCTGGCAAGGCCTGCAGGCCTCTGAGTCTGAGCCTCTGTGTGTGTGTGAAAGGGAAGGGTTGGCTGGGGAGTCAGAGAGGGAGGGGGTGCCGGGCGAGATTTATGGACACCAAGCCCCACGCTCATCCCCTACAGGCCTGTGCTGCACACACACATCCAGCCCTCAGCCTGCAGCACAGTGGCTCCCCTGAGTCCCGGCCATAAAGAGAGACGTCTTTCCACCGGCACACGTTCTCTGAGGAAACTCCGCTGACTGGGAAATTACAACCTCCACGCCTCCATAATGAGAGATTCTGCAGCTGTGTGTGTGGTTTCTAGATAATATTTATTGTGTTGTTTTTAATGTAAAGAAACACTTGAAACTGAGTATCCTGGCAAACAGCATGTGTTTAAAGGACCACAGTGAGTAGAGCCAATGATAAAAAGTATGTTTGAGAATCTCTAAAAAATACCTGAAAAATCATTTGACCACTGTATGATGCTTGGTATTCAAATACATTTTAAGTACAGTATATGTTATCTTTTTTAATAAAGTTTGCCATTTTTATTGAATTCAAGCAACTGTTTGGATATTCATCTCGTGTTTTATTAAACATTATTTAGGCACATTAAACTAAACCAAATCTTCATCAGCTAATCAGCTCTTACTCACATGCCCTCTGACCCACACAGAGTCATCCATCCGAGGCATCAAATTGTGATGTCTCATATAAACTCTGATGGTCAAGGAACCGAGCATGTCCTAATGTGCCGCTGCCAGCAGATGATAAATAGATGTTCTTTATTTCATCTCAGCAAAGCACTTTACACCACGATGGCCTGTGACTCTGCAGCTCACATATATCATCCTGCTTTCCTGGAGCCGGAGGTATAATAATGTATACAGTATCCAGTCAGGACACAAGTCTCAAGAATGTCTTCCATCCCTCTGTACTCTTCAGTTTGTTTGCAGTCACAAGACGACAGCCTAATAAGGCAAACAGTTACTCTAAGAGGAACTCACGAGTATCCCATTACGGATGTACATATATTTAAGACTGCCACATGGCCTTTTCCTGCATAGCATTTCCATTAAACACACGGCGCAGCCATGCCCAGTAACCTGATACAGAGGCAGAGAAACAAAGGCAGCTCATGTATTCATGTACAGAGGATGGACACATGCCAACATAAAAAGCTGTTGGAGGAGAACACTGCGGTTTTCTTCTGCGTAAGAACAACTTCCAGACAGCGGGGTGGCAGTCGCCATGTCTGAGAAACCGATAAGAGTTTGGTGTAACAGAAAACAAACTGGGGTGAAATAAAATGATTTTTAATGCAAAGTAAATACCCTAAAAAATATATGAAGAGTGAAAACACTCAGATGCAGGGAAAATGGCAATCCAGCTGTGTTGTGTATTTCAAGGTAATTCAGAACATGAATTGTAAGCTACGCTGACATTCCACCAATTGACGGAGGAATGTAGCGGTACGCCAAGTCTGCGTTTCACTGCAGTACGGCCTACAGCAACGATCCACATATGAAAACCATTTTCTTACATCTAATTTATGTACTCCAAATCTACAAGTCTCCATTGTACTCCACATTTCTAAGTGTACCTACAATCTTTTCCCCCCGACTTAATCTATAATTCACAGGGTCGAGTAAACAGTTGGTTTCCATTGTGTCAACATGACTCACTGATTTATGCCTCTAAATGTATGTTTCAGTTGTTTCAAGCCATTTGCTTTGTTGTTACAATCATTATGTTCAAATCATGTGGATTGCAAGCCATTACATACAATTAGAAATGTAACAAAAAACAAAGATTTAAGAAAGTTATTTATGTACTGGAAACCAACTTTTCAATAGCTATGTCAAGTCAGATAAATTCTTCAAAGTGGGTGAGCCGCACTGTCATTGGATACTTTATTTGTAGGTTTTTACCCTCAATGAATGCTCTATTCATGTCCTTAAAGCTAATGAAGCGGTCATAATGACAACGACAGGGATTGTAAGTTGATATAATTAAATTAGATGGCTGAATTGGAAAAGTAAATGGCCTTGATGAATATGTCTCGAACAGTTTGCCATAGACCACAGAGGAGTGGGAGAGCGGGCAGAGGGGTCGCAGACATCATTTATCATGTCAAAGCCAAAGCTCCACGTGCATCACTGGATGATTATCTGTGTGACATACAGGGTGTTTGATTATCCCTCTCAACCTTCTGTTTGATTATGAAAAGATTGTGTTGAAATAATAAATAAATCTCCAGTCTATCCAAATATGCTAACAGCTCAAAGAGACAATAAAGAGGTTAATACGCTGGGGCCAGTAGAGGGGCCTGTATGTCCATTTGAAACTTACAAGGTTGTACATCACATTGCTTAATTCTAAGAGGATGGGAGGCCCCAGCTGTTGTCAAAGAATTAGGTTTCAGACCCCACATCATTATCTAGCCCGGGGTCTGATATGAAAGACTGCTTTGGAGTCTTTTCTAGCATGACGCTCTGGCCTTGGCCCAACAACACAGAACACAAAAGGCTCTGTTTGGCTCAAACATCTCCAATAGATGTTTTACTGCTGTGTTTGAACACCTAGCTACTTCCCTAATCAATTAAAGATGGAGTTTACAGGGGTATTTCCACTCATTTGAATCCAAGCCCATTTAATGGGGCATGCTTCTGCTAAAACGCAAGCAGAAGTGAGGCTTTCATCCGTCTCATTAATTTACGTCTCTTATCTTTTATTATGCTACACTCCTTTGGTGGGCTTTTCCACTCTCCACTCTTTTTGACCATGTCCTTGTTTGGCTGCAGTTGTACTGTTTAGCCTCATTAATAAGTACTGTCAGGAACATGATGGGCACATTCATTAAGCAAGGCTGCTGAAGGGAGACCAATGCGGATGGATGGCAGCAGAGCGAGGTCAGTCATGGGTGCCCATGTCCGAAACACCCTTATTGGACAGACTTCCAGGAATGGAGAGGTCTTTAGGTTCTCTAGGAACTAAAGACAGGCACAGTCACTCTTAAATCTGCTGAAAGAGCATGTATTTAGTACTATTTCCTTTTTACCAATATGTTGTGATAATATACTGCATATGTTTTTTTGGGGGGGTATATCTATATTACATGTAAATATTTTTCTTATAATAGTTTTATTTGTTGGCCCTTTTCTTACAATCTATCTTCCTCGTATATGTTAACCTACTAGGCAATAAAACTGTTTCTGATTCTAATTCTGATGTATGGGAAAATTACCACAATAAAAATAGTAGCTTTTATTTCCTGCAGCTCAGTTATTTTTTTTGACAACACGACAACACCACCTCATGATGTGACACTTTTGAGTGTCAGATGCAGCATAAGAAAAAAAGGAAACACTTTTGCTGCCACATGACTCATTTGCTTCTGAGAAAGAACAAGTCTTTCATATATCTTTCTTACATCCAAATGTGTTTACAACCATGTGGTTCTTCTGATATGATTAGACGTTCTGGTACAGAGAGCAACGCTATGATTTGGGGAAGATGGGGGGGAGGTAGCGAGAACAGGTCAGGGCTCGTAAATCCCTTT